GACAGGTTTGTCAAAGTGAAATGGTCACAGACTAAGAGAGCAACAGAAAGAGAGACCACCATATATATATATATATATATATATATATATATATATATGGATACATATCAGATAGAGAGAAATAGTGATTATTTACATTCCAGTGCAGTTAATGAATGACTGTTTTCTGGAGTAGTAGGAAGACCAAAATTTTCACCTGATTTATTTGTTCATAAAATAGGAAGTGAACATAGAGAAAACAGAGGTGATGAAGATTCCTGGCCAACAACAACAACAACAATAGACAACAACCAGTATCAATGGGAGAAATCTGAAAGAGGAAACCTCCTTCACCTACCTGCCTATCTGAAAAGCATCGTTTCAACTACAGGCCAGCGGAACTGACGAGGATATCAAAACAAGAATCGGAAAAGTAAGACAAGCTTCCATTACTCTCAAGTCTGTGTGGAGATCAACAGCACTTAACATCAAAAATAAGATCCGGAATTTCAACTCCAATGTGAAGTCAGTTAGTGCTACTATACGGGTTAGAGACTTGGGGTGTTGTCATAAAGACCACCTCAAACAAACTACAAACCTTCATTAACAGCTGTCTTCACTCAATACTCCAGATTAGATGGCCGGCCAAAAAAGATCAGCAACAGGGATCTCTGACAATCAGCGAACCAACCCCGCAGGAAGCAGTTGTGCTACAAATATGCAGAAAGAAATGGAGATGGATTGGCCATACTCTGAGGAAACCAGCTAGGGACATCACTAGACAAGCCATCGCTCGAGTGGAACCCGAAAGGGAAGCGGCGAGTTGGTTGTCATTGCAAGGGTGACTTGGAGGAGGTCATGTGAAGAGTAGATGAAAACATGTGGACAGACTTAAAACCATGTGAAAACTCTAGCAGAGAACCGAACGCATTGGAGACGCGCAGCTGAAGCCGTATGTTCCTCTAGGAATTAAAGGAGATAATAAAAACGTAGTAAGTCTTAGCTGCAGAAGGACATCACAATCTGATAATGAAGCCTACTTTGAATAAAAATATAGACTTTACGACAAAACGTTTTTTCTCCATTGAGGTATTCAGCAACCTAGTTCGATAATACTGAATTGTACTTCTTGACTGTTACCTTGAACCAGTATGAGATACGGAGTCAGTCATATTATTTCATAAAAACAGTCCCTTTGATTAGTTTTTGAACAAAGTGACAACAAAGATATTTGAAACGAAAACAAGAGTTGGTGATTTTCGCTTCACATATTTTCATCAGCTTCTAACAGACTTAAGAGCGACATAACTTTTTGATTGCATGGAGGATTTCATCATGAGGCGACATCAGTTAGAGAACCTTTGAAAAGTGTGGGAGTACTGAACAGCTGTTTCTTCCGTCCTAGTTTGGGACTCTTCAGCAGTACGCACCCATCGCCAGGGTTCGAACCCAGGACTTTCTGGTTACAAGGCAAGCTCATAGACCATTGAGCCACTGGGACCCGATCCAACGGTCCTTGAATTCTAACTTGTGAGGATTTTGGTTTGATTGCATGCAGGATCTCATTATGATCCGTGACCAGTAAGGTACAGCAGGTTGAAGATGATGCAGTCGCTCATTGAAGAAGACATTGCGAAGTGGTCACGCTATGTCGTGAATTGGAAGTAGTTGGAATACATGGACTGGGCATTGGATCGACTAGGCCCAGTGGCTGAACGATCTACAAACTTGCCTTGTAATCAGTAGGTCCTGAGTTCGAACCCCGGTGGGTGCGTACTGATGCAGAGTCCCAAACTAGGACGGAACAACTGTCCAGTACTTCCAGGTTTTCAAGTAGTTCTCTAACTGATGTCAGCTCATGATGAAATCCCCCACGCAATTAAACAAAAATCTCTACAAAACCAATACTTGAAGACATAACTTTTTATCATATGTTCAAAAAGTATTTCAAATACTTCAGAAATGATTTCAACTCAAAGGGTGTAATAGTGGAACAATATTTACGAATACAAGATGGCTAATACTCTAATAAAGAGTTTATTCATACACAGTGTGATGGGATGTTCAAGCGAAGAGGTTGGAAGTGAAAAGAAACAAACCAACGAATAAGTAAATTTGTAAGATTAATAATGATTTAAACTCAGTGAGTTATAATAAAAAAAAAACAACACCTGTGAGACAATAAAAAATACAGTAACAAAGCAAAGACATCCAGTTACCAAGGTAGTGCAGGATCAGTCACATTATCTCTTTGTATACATAAGTTAGGTTGAGATCCTTTGATAGCAATGGATTCTGCAAAGACGGTTTGACTGATTTCAACTGAATGCCTCATGTCAATTAGATGCTTAGCAGTTGCACTTACAAACACTTTCTTATTTTTTATATGAACATTTTAGATGGTTGGAGGCAATCGGCAGGAAACCTTGGTCCTAGGTTTCTTGCTAGTTGGCACTCATCAGAAAGGCGTATCTGCAACCTTCAAGGATTTCATGTCCCTTCTGAGATTCTTAGCCGCGTCACCCAGTACTGCAGTCAAAGGCGTTACCACTGAGCCAGCTATTCGGGCTCACGATTTACCTCCTGTAGGACTGTAGTGGAACGTGAAGGGACACAAGTTCCTGCAAGGTTGCAGATACACCTTGCTGACTAACTGGTGAGTGACAACTAGTACGAAACTTAGGTCAAGCAAGGCTTCCTGCCGATTGCCTCTAACTATCTAATATCATCAAATCAATGTACACCGTGATGGCGGGCTACCTAGAATTGTAGCCACATTACAAACCGGACTGGTAGAATTCAGTCTGCACCAAAGAAAGGGCTAGACATATCACACTAGTTACTGACTAGTGTCCAATCAAAAATATATGAAGATTATTTGGAATATGCTGAGAGAATGTGGTGAATGCTTTCCTCTTATTTTTTTTTCTTCTATGTACTGGCTACCGGAAGCATTGATAAATATAGTTGGTGTTGACATGATTAGGATATTTATTTATAATTTAGACTGTATTAGTAATAACTGCGTGGTATATATTGCGTTAGGAAATGTTTCCTTTTCGCGTTACTAAACTTCCAATTTAATTAAACTGGTTTGTCAGTGCAACAGTTTAACTTCTACTTACCATTTCTATGTTATAAATTATTTGCATTCATAATAACGTATGTCGATTTTAGTGTGTTAGCAGCTGATGAAAAGCTGGGAATTACGTAGTATGAACCACTTTCATCCTGTAAATATCTTTTTCCACACTTTATTACAACAAATCGTATTATTGCTCCTCATAATTGTATCAAGACTATCTAGTGATAGGAGTAAGTATCTTCTATCTTTCACTTTTATGACTTTAAACTTTTGAGTTAGAAATTCCATCACAAAGATAGTCATCAAGTAGCTGTGAACTGAGGTTAGTCACATATTAGGTGTATGAAAAATCATTAGTTCTTTTTTTAACAGGTAGACGTAATTGTATCTGAAAAACCGGTAAATATTGTGAATTGATCCAATTTTCAGCTCTATTCTTTACAGGGCTGGTAGTAGAGATGTGACCCACTTTCTGACATAAGCACTAGACTTTTAGACAATAAGCTCTAGGTTCGAATCTCACTTCATCTTCTTCAGCCTCAGAAATAGGATAGTATGATGAACAGACAAATAGTAATTATGTGGCTTACAATCAGGTACTAAGTTTTAGAACAAGAGTGCTTAGAAATCACACCGGGAATGTTCTACATTGAGAAGAAATATCTGTTAAGTGATATCCTTCTTTCAGTGGTTTTATGTAAAAGTCAACTTTGAAAGTTACTCAACTACCGAAATTTGTTATTGTTAGATATTTGTAGGGATATGATCGATTTCAAACTACTGTACACCAGAGAACTTTTAAAAACTATGCCGTTATGGACAATTATTTCTTCCTACTTCTGAGAATCTTCACCAACTGTTTGGTGTTCCCCTGTGTTTCAACTGGAACATGTGGCTTCAAGCTTTGAAGTCGAAGTAGCAATGGCGTATTCTTTTATGGCGTTGGGTTTCTAGCCTCGCGTCTAAGCGTCTTTCCCGGGCTTACTACCGGCCTCCTATCTAAGCTCAGCAGAGCGGTGACCGCTTTACTTATTTGGGAAGTACCATCAGCCAGTGCCAGCGGGTTGATCTCTGACGAAATCTCAGCACGGATACAGAGGGCTAGTTTCGTATATGCCAGTTTCCACCGTCTCTCGCTGATAAACGTGATTTCCGGCTGGCTATCGACCAATGGGCGGGTGTACTGCTCATCAGTTCGCTCCGTCCTCCTTTATGGCTGTGAGACCTGGCCATTGATAGTGGCTAGCCTGGCTAGCTGTGTTTGATCAAAGGTGCCTGCGTTCTATCTCCTGTGTGAAGTGGCATGATAAGGTGAGCAATATTGAGGTTAGGCGTCGGTCGACTGCTAGGTAAGGAGGGGAAATCAATCGATGAGGCTGTGAAATTACATCAACTGAGATGGTTAGGACATGTGTTACGAATGAATGTCTAGTCATCGCCTTCCTCGACAATGGTCAATGTTAGCTGACATAAGGTAAGGCTGGAAAAGAGCTAGCGGCGGTCAAACCAAAACATGGCTTCATCAGTCAATGAAATCCACAACAGTTAGTTTAAGCCAGCCAGCCAGCTAGCCACGTAGGAAGGTGTAGAGTTCCTGATCGGTTGGGGTCCTCGGGACGGTAAACACCAATGAGGCTGGAAACAATTGGTGATATGGCTCAAAGTGATCGTTCTCAATGGCTGGCTGGTGCAGATGCATCCACTCCTTGTGACTTATGATTTCCAACGAAACCATATTGTTCTTCGTTATTACAACTCCTTTGTCTCACACCTCTGTGTGTGGAGTAAAATCTACCAATGAACTAACAACGCAGTAGTCAGTTAATATTGCTAAGGATTTTAAAACTTCTTTTAAAAGAAGTTTCTTCTCTCTTATCAGGTAGGAAAGTAGGCGCAAAAAGCTGTAAAGAACAAAGTTGTATTCCCACATATTCCTGTTAGAAAAGAAGACGTTTAAAAAGTAGTTATGTAATTTGTTTGAATAATTATTTCCTCAGAACAAAATTCCTTGTGAAGATGTTATATAGAGACAATATATACATAAGTAGTTTACTAGTCAACCAATATAATAATCTTATAAGGAAAGACTTACTATAGAGAGGATACACAGTGAAGCTCAACGGATGATAAATTATGTGATAAAATTATGTGTAAACAGCTGCCAACAGAGCCATACATCTTCAATTGTTTAGGGAATAAAACATTATTATGCTTGGAGAAAGAGTGAAATTAACCAGAAACGAAGATTGAGAAAGAGAGCAGGCAAATATTTAAATTATGGTCAAATTATACTAATATGCACACACATTGATTGTTCATCTGTCGATTACGTAATCCATTATGAGAAGACCCTCATTAACATACCCGACATCTCAGGAATTCAACTCTTATGAATAAGATGTTGGACACTGAGATAGTGGATGAGTGGGTGTAGAAATGAAGTCAACTGTAAACTTAGTATTCCCTGAATCAATATTATGCTCACCGCCATCTTCTATTGTTGAAAGATTCCCTTTTTGATAATCATTATTCGACAATACCAATGGATCTGTCTGATGTAATTGTGAATTCAAGCATATAATCAACTTATACAATTCATCAATAGCATTAGCTTGCATAAGAATATAATTTTTAGCTAATAACAATGTAGCAATTTTTGATAATTTTCTAACAGATGGACTATGCGCATATGGTATAACACTGCGTAGGTCATCCAATGCATCGTTTAAATCATGCATTCGACGTCGTTCACGAGCATTAATACTTAGACGTGCATTTCTTTGTTGATGATAATGATGTTTAGCTAGAGTTTTTGTATGTGAAGCAGTATACTGAAAGTTATGATGTTGATTGATACGTGTTAGCGACTGGGCGACAGATTCTGCAATCGATGTTGTTGTTGTTGGCGGTAAAGAAGACGCCAGTGTTGTTCTTCGTAGTCTCCACAGTGTATCTGCTTTCTTTTGATGCCTGTCTGATATCATTAATGAGTCAGAGTTAATCATTGGGAATAAAATATTATTATTATTATCACTGTCAGTATTGTTGATTTGATTGGGATCATTAGTAGTAGTGATAGTTGAAAAAGAACAACTTTCATCACTATCGTATAATTCATCCATTAAGAAAAAAAATACAGGCGAAACTGATGAACTGTCTAGGTTAACGGGCAAAATGACTAATATGATTCTATATTATTGTCTTTGGTAATTTTGATTGGTTTATATAGAACTAACCAATTAGAATGAAGTTACTGGAAAAGTTATGACAGCCAATCATGTTACATGAAATTAGGCAGTGTGATATCTCTGCTTTGCACATAGAATGGATTGTGATGAAAACATTTATGAATTATGCAACGAAAAATATGATGCAACTGTTCTATAGTAGTCAATCCAGGTACACAACTATGAAATTCATATAGTAAAATGCACTTCTGTGAGACAGTTACTAGAGCATATCAAGATTGGCGAGAAAGTTATTGAAATAAAAATAAGATGGAAAAAATCCCATTTAAACATTTAAAGAACAAAGGGAGTGAGCGAAGAAATATTTACCCTTCAGTTGCATCCTCGTATATGACTCGATTTTAATATATATGTAGCATTTCTAATGAAATACAAAAGAGAAATTACCAATCTAGTGGTGACATGTTTGGTCACGGGTTAGTGAGCCATTGAAAATCAAGGAGTATTGGTCATAGTTCGGGATTCGTCATTAGTATGCTCCCACCGGATCTCAAATCCAGGAACTTCCGGTTACAAGGCAAGCTCGTAGACCATTTAGCCACTAGGAATCGACCCAATGGAATATGAAATCCAAATAGTGCTGATAAATTTCTTAACAACAGTTAGTCAGTATCATTGTGTCCAGGGGGTGATAATGAACCCTGGTGCTAGAATTAAACAAGTATTATTATTTCGTTGAGTTCCAAGTGAAACGTTGGGTTCAACAACACATTTCCACTTCGTTCTATACAGAGATTCCTTTTCAATTGGAGCCACGATTGCCCATAATCTCTCACCTAGTCCTCGCAGAATCTCCCCCATGTAACCCTCGCACCGACAACCCATTGCGGTGCTAGTTGAGCGATGACCTGACGCGTAACGTTATTTGACGGCCTCCTCAGAGTATGCCCAATCCATCTGCATTTTCTTCTGTATATTTGCTGATCGATCGGCTCTTGGTTGGTTTGTTCACAGTCAGAGATTCTTCTTGCTAATTCTTCTTGGACATTTGTTCTTCAGCAAGGAGCAAAGGTTGCAGGTGTTGATGAGAAGAGTCTGTAACCTGTTGGAAATCCTTTTCGTGACACGCAGTCCAAGTTTTTGACCCGTAGAGAAGAACTAACTAACTTGACATTGGTGTTAAAAATCCGAATCTTGTTTTTTATGCTAAGGCGGAGTTCAGAACACTTCCAAACTAATTTCAGGTTGATGAAGGCGTATGTTTCTTTTCCGATTATCGCCAGCTTTGATACCTTCATCTGTTCCATTCGATAATTCGGGAAAATAGGGAATATTTAATAAATAAATTAGTGCTCAAACTGATGACGTAGTAAGAAGTTAGAAATGAAATTGTCAGAATTATAAGATAATAAGGCGTAGGTCAGGTAGGAGGAATTGTCAGTAATGTAATTAATGGCAACCAAGTTAAGGGAATCGACTGTAAGAATTTCCTCTAAACATTTCAAGGTCTGACTTCTTCAGTCGGCTTCCGATCACCTTAGTTGTATGTAGGAGACAAACTCACAAGGCAAAATTAATATTGGCAGGAATACAAGAGATAACTTTAGATGCTTTATTAATATCAACTTTATGCTCGCTATCTACACGGTGTGCTGAAACAGAGCTACGAAGATATATGTGTAAAAAACTCGGGCACTGTGATAGTAAGTAATTCCATATTAGTTTGTTTATTAGATGTGTCACACAGTCAGAGAAACTGTATTATTTACTGGATTACGTTTCAAAAAAAAACTTTATTGTCCATAATCACTTCATCAATTATTATCACACGATTTCGAAACTTGAGTTTTATGGTTTTCTTTGTTCTCTCCTTTTTGTCGTTGGGGTAGTAGAATTTTCGAGACATCCAACTGGACAGGTTGTTAAATCATTCCTGTTACAGGTATTTGCAGTTGATTCGATAACACAAAGCTTCTGTTATCAATCTCTCCCTTCCACTATGTGACATTAGATTTTAAAACTGTCAATCTATTCCATGCTATTGTGTGGTTGTGTGTGACTGACCCGAATAAGATAAGAAATCTAGAGAGAGATTGATAACAGAAGCTTTGTGTTATCGAATCAACTGCAAATACCTGTAACAGGAATGATTTAACACCTGTCCAGTCGGATGTCTCGAAAATTCTACTACCCCAACGACAAATAGGAGAGAACAAAGAAAACCATAAAACTCAAGTTTCGAAATCGTGTGATAATAATTGATGAAATGATTATGAACAATAAATTTTGTTCGAAACATCATCCAGTAAATAATACTGTTTCAGTGTATGATCCATCTAATAAAGAGCTACGAAAAAATCTCATTTATCCATTGTTTAACCATGTAGAATGGTGTTCGAAAATCCAATGGCACACTTGCCCAACTGTACACCAAATGAAGAAGCCAGACTAGTTTGTTGGGAAATTCGTGTAATTGCTTCCCTTAACTTGGCAGCCATTGATTTAATGAATGTAAAAACTGGCAATTACCCTGCCGCCTACGCCTTTTATTATTCCAATTACTTCATTTTTAATTACTTATTGCGTAATCGACTTAAACACCCATTTATTTCCTAATTACCCTTTATTTTCCCAAACTATGCATTATATAATTTACCTGTTTAATTTTTCCAACTATTTCTACCCTTTAATTGTTGCATTAACTGTTTCTTCTCTCGGTCCTTTTGTCTTCTAGAGCAGTTATCGTATTTCATGCATGACACAAATTACGAAACGAGGAATGTGACGCAATTATTTAATTCTTAAGAGTTAGTTCGTGGGGTTTTGATTTATTTCACGCTTGATCACGAAGTGGTATCAGTTACAGAACCAATGAAAACTGCAGAGTACAGGACAGCTGTAACGTCCTTCCTGTTCGGGATTCTTCATCAGCAAACACTCCAATAAGGATTGAACGCGGGATCTTCAGGTTATGAGGCTAAGCTGGTTATTAATCATTATTTGATTATGTTTCAAAGACACACACTTAACATTCATCAAGTACAGAGTACTACTTTGAGGCAAATTATGTGAAGTTACCATAACAAGTTCTAGAGTATATAAAACAACGGTTAGAAGTTATGAACGAAACAAGAGACGAATGTTGAAGTGATTGACTTTAGGACCATGAAGTACTGCATACCCGAAAAATGCAGTCAGTTATTTTTCCTGACATTTTTTTTTATTCTGGAAGCGAATATGTCACAGTTCATCTTCTGGTTCTGGATTCAGTGTTTTATGTTTCTATGTATGTGAGAATTCCAAAGAAGGCTGTCACTGCTGACCACAAATTGAGTTTGAGGAAGTTTATACACTTTTTTATTCGATATTTTACACATTACACAACATTTAACAACTAGAATTTAATTGGTGGATAGTGACTAGCAGTGGAATCCAGGTTAAACTGCATTTCGTCGTATTTGGGACTCGTCATCTGGATGTCCTTGCATTTCCCAGTGGGTGATGATGTTCCCACCGATGCTCGAACCCAGTGCCCAATTAAATTAACATGACCCGTTGCACAAGAGGTGGGGCTCTCGTGGCCCAAATGGTCTAGTGGATAACGCTTTGGCCTTTGAAACTATGGGCACTGGGTTCGAGTCTCGTTGGGAACATCATCACTCACTGGGGAATGCAGGTACATCCAAATGACGAATCCTGAATAGGACGAAATGCGCGTTATCCTGGATTCCACTGCTAGTCACCATCCACCAGTTCAAATTCTGATTACATGTCCAGACATCGTCGAAGCATTTGCACAAGAAGCCGACAGACATGTCAACCTGAGACCAAGCACTTCGGTCAATCAGTCGACGGGAAAATCTAAAATTCAATTAAGTTTAACAACTAGACTTCTCGAATACAAAAATCACGATTCAACTTCCCACTCCTTACTAGCTGCTAATAAACTAGCGTTAGGATACATATCAGGATTTATAAATAAGTGAAGTGCATTGGTCAGTTGCTGGGGAGAAGGGAGTGTCACGTGTCTAGTCTCTCGTAATTCGTGTTGACTTAATTCTGTCCATCAAGTTCACAGTGCAGTCCAAGAGAACGCAAATTAGCTGCAAAAAGGCATGATATATATATATCCTTTCGTATCAATGCTTGTGGATGACTATGGACACCAATTCGATTGGGATAATACAGAAATTATGAATAGAGGAACACACCAAAGATGCCATGGAATTCCGAGAAGCTGGGTCGGTAATCAAGTGAATCAGCAATTAACAAACATATTACTATAGATCAAGTTGGCAGAGGATTGAGGCAGCGAAGATAGGACTTTAACTGAACATATAGAAGACGGTGATGATGAAGCTACCTAACCAAGAACTACGAAAATCAATGACGATCAACGGATGACGTCAAAGGTGGGATCGGAAAAGCACAACAGACCTGTGTTACTTTGAAGTTGGTGTGGAAATCTACTGTACTCAGCCATAACGCACAAGATTCGAACTTTCCAGACAAATCCCAAATCATTGACTCTATATGGTTCAGAGACGTCACAAAAAGTACTTCCAATAGGCTGATGTAGACTTTTATCAACAGCTTCCATCGCTCCATACTGAAGATCATATGGCAATCAAGAAAGGAGAAGTAATAAGGAACTTTGGCAGGCAACAGACCAAGTAACCAAAATCATTGTGCCCAATAGAATGCCGATAGGAATGAAGATGGATTGGAAATAGGCTGAGAGGACCAGTGAGTGACGTCACGCGTCAGGGTTTCAAGAAGAACCCGGATGAGGGGGGACGACGAGTCAGGTACATGTCCACGAGTGACAACGAGGGAATTGTTTGAGAAAGAAATGGATGCCTGTTGGAGAAGGTGAAGGTAACTGAAAACGACTGCAGAGAACAGGATGAAACGGAGATGTGATGCTAAACCGCCATGTCCCACTGGGAATAATAATAGTAACAGCTTTATTC